TTTTCTGAATTCATTCAGAAGTTTATCCTTATCTTCTTTCAGTTCTTTAATTTCTTTGTGTGTTCTTTAAATTCACTGATTTCTTTTACCATGTTTAAAACTTTTCTTTTGAGTTCCATGTCCTGTGTTATCTCTAGGAGTTCTCATTATACTCCTTTAGAGGTCTGGAGGTACTTGGTGGGGATATATTATTTTGGTTTTTCATGTTATTTTTTCTCTGTGACTTTGTCATGTGAATTTCTTTTATAGTTTCAGATTCTTGTGTGAGACTCCAACCTTCCTTTGTTGAGTTTAGGTCTCCTTTTTGTGAACTTTATGTGCCTTTGTGGTTTGCTTGTTGGGCAGGAAAAGCTGGCTGGTCTATGCCTCAGGTTCTCTCTTTTGATTTTATGTTGGATTGGCCAAGTTGCCTTTGTCTTCAGGAGTTCCCACAGAGGCACAATTCAATGAGGTTCAGATGCTCTAAGGCTTTCTCCTAAGGTCTGGATCCCTCCAGGAAACATTCTGCCCTCAGGAATTTGTGGGCTGGGCTGGCCTGGGAGCAGGGCTCAGGAAGGATGCTGGTCTCAGGAAGCTGGTGCCTGTGCCACCCAGTGATGCAAAAGGGGGTGGGAACAGGAAGATGCCCTGAGGTCTCCTCAGGACTACTGGGAGGAACTGGGTTGGTCTGGATGAAAACGATCAGGAAATAGTGGGGACTCTGTGCCATGAGGTCAGCCAGGTGTCTGGGGTGCCAAGACAAGAAATAGTCCAGTACCCAGGCTAGGGAGAGAGATGGACCAGGGAGCTGGGAGGGTGAATGAGGTTGGGGGAGTCAAGGCATGTTGGGCACTGTGGGGCCCACCCAGGAAAGATGCTATTACCAGGAAGCTGGTGGCTGAGCTGCCCAGGGAAGCAAAGGTAGGTGGGGGTGGGACCAGGCCCAGAGGTCAAAGCCACGGGACCCACCCAGGAAAGATGCTGGCACCAGGAAGCTGGTGGCTGTGCAGCCCATGGAAGTAAAGGGCTAAATTTTTTATTTTTTAAGTTTAAGAGAAGGTTTGATTCACAAATTTCATGCAATGAATTTTGATTATATTCAAGTTTCCTCTACCATCTCCACGTTCACCCTGCCACTCCCATCCCTGAATTCATGTCTTCTATTAGGAAATGAAAAACCCCATTCATTTTATATAATCCTTCTGAGTTGGGTGCCAGAGAAATCATATCTCATTAGAGGGTCAGCGATCTATAATTCTTACACAGAGGTGCACCAAAATAAGGGTGTACTCCCCTTCCTTTGAATGCAGTTTTGGGGCAGAGTGCACCCAGGTTTCTTGGAATGGAATTTTCATTCTTAGTTTCTGTTTCTATTTCACTCTGCTTAGGAATGTCAAGTAGGGATTTCTCTTTTTCTCAGTGGTCAAAACGCTTGGTTTTCCTCATCAAAGTTAATTGTTGGCAGCCTTTGCATGCAGGTTGCACTTTGGCTGTTTCTCAGCCTCACTCAGCACAATGACCCCACTGTGGACCAAGGGATTCTCCAACAGGTTGGTTCACCACAGGTTTTTAAGCTGGGTAAAAGCAGAAGCTAGGTTTTCATGGCAGGCAGGAATTACTCACAGGCCTCCAATCCAAGATTCTCTGAATGACAGTTAGGAAGCTTCACACTTTCATATGACTTTACCCCAGTGTCCTCTAGTTTATTTTCTGAAATCTGTAGACTTCACAGACTCCTAAGGTTGTTGAGGACTGCAGCCAGGTCTTGACAGCCATTGAGAGATAATGATGGTCTGCCAACGATGGGTGCCACCAGGGCTCATAGGTGAGCAGGCCAGTTCAACTCCACCATGCCATTTTAATTGGGTAGCCAAGCTGACATGCCAGTGCACATGGGCAGCCATGCCAACTCAGCTTTGCCCCAGCTTGTGTATTTGAGTGACCAGGCTCTGCCACTTCATGTGGGTAGCCAGGGTAGCAAGGCTCTGCTGGTGCATGTGGGCAGCCAGGCAAGCTCCACCCTTCTAGTGTGTGTGGGTGGCCAAGACAGCACAGTTCTGCCATCTTGGCTCCCCAGTTTTTTTCACTCTTGCCGAATCCTGAGTTCAGAATTTTGAGATCAATATAGAAGCATCAAGATTCTTAACAAAATCAAGAAGCTCAGAGTCATGTTTTAAGTCCTTGTGTGGAGAATCTCCATCAGTGCCATTGCTCCTGCTGAGCCACCATCTTGGCTTGCCAATTATTTTCTTTCTTACTTGCCAAGTCCTGAGTTCAGAATTTTGAGATCAAAATATTCATCTTGCGTGACAAGGTTCCTCACATGGTCCATCACATGCATTCAGCCTCGTGGTCATTAGTGGCCCCAAGCCCAGTAGCTAGCTGCCTGGGCATGCCTCATTCCTATGCCATCTTTTCTCTCAACACCATCATTTTGAGCTGTCTTGTTGTATTCCTTCCTGTATGTTTCACCAGTCATACTAAACAATGAGTTCTGGGTTGCAAAAGAAGATTTATTTTTGTACCTGTCTTTCATGCCTTTGTCCACCAGTTGAACAAAATACTTTCTGATCTTGGTACATAAATTTTGATTTATTTTTATCCTGTTTATATGAGTGTTTTGTCTGCATGTATGTACACATGAGTGCAATGCTTTCAATGGGCATAAGAGGGCATTGGCTCCACTGGAACTAGAGTTACAGAGAATTGTTAGCTGCCATGTTGGTGCTGGGAACTAAATGTGGGTCCTCTGCAAGAGCTCTTAACCACTGAGTCAGCTCTGTAGTTCCTCAAAACAAATTCTTGGCATGTATAGCTCAAGCTAGCCTGGAACTTTCTATCCTCCTGCCCCGGCCTTCATACTGCTGAAATTATTTTCATCAGACATATCTTTTTTATTTTCAGGATTTTTTTTTGAGATACTGTCTTGCTATGTAGCCCCCTAGCTGAGCTGGAATTCACTATGAGTGCCCAGGTTGGCTTTAGACTTGCAGTGATCCTCCTGCTTCTGACTCCCAGGTGGCATTATATAGGCATATGCCATGAAACCTGGCTTATAAGTATTTTGTTATTCACAGATAGCTTTCATTTACCTCTGGTTCTCTGAAGCATTTGTAGTCATCTACTAGCCTGAATGCTTCATGATGACATTACTTGCATACCTTTAAGATTATGCCACTGGACAGAGTAAGGAGTTTTAAAACACTGATGGACAAGTTTATGTAACTACTAGTCTGAGATCAAGAACACAAAAGAATTAATTACATGGGACTGAATGAACTGATGAACTTACAGCTTTGTTTGAAACACTGCTGGCTCTGGAATGTTTCCTTTTCTGGATTTAAAGAAACCTTTTCCATTTTCTCTTAGGTATCTATACTTTTAACAGCTTAGTAGCTTATGCTTTTGTAAATATCAATGAAATATTTATCTTTCCTCTGCACCTGGCCCTTCCACATTTTAAAAACTCATACTGAATATTCCTATTTGAGTTACAATATAATTATTTGCAAAAGTTCAATATGAATCAATCCTTCTTATAACAGGATATAATTAAAAAATACTGGTTATATAGCCAGCACTTTTATTGCAATATTAGAGTTCAGGCATTAAAGATGACTTTATGGAATCGATGGTTACCAAGCCCTCTTAAAAAAAACAGTCTAACATCGGTTTCTGGGGCTCTCAGGTTTACAGAAAAGTAAGGAAGTTCAAATTAACTGGCAGGATCAGGAAATATACAACATCTAAGGGGACCTTGGGAAGAGAGAGATCCACTGAAGCTAAAGGTATTGCTAATGAATTCCATTAGCAAAAGCTTGACTTGGTCTCCTAACCTTGAGAGGCTTTTAAAAAGTCTAATCAGATTAGACTTTTAAAAATTACTTACATAAATTTCCAGGAAAGCAAACTGAAAAGGCCTCCGAGACCAATTACTATTCTTTCTGTACTTATGTATATAATCAGGTCAAATCTAATAAGATGAGACTTACTTTGTAAACAAGAATAACCTTTAATTAGTTATCTTTGATCAAAAGAGGAGGGTGACTACAGAGCAAAATTTTATGTTTCATTGGAGAATTATAGCACATCCCATGAGTTCTCAATTCTGCTTTCCTCCCATATCTGATTGCACCTCTGCAAATTAATATTTCCATTTTCTCCAGTTTTGTGACTTAGCATTAATCAGCCCCTTTAGTAAAATCCTGCAATCTAAAACTGAACAACTTCATATAAACTTCAGAAAAATCCTGTAACAGATGATATATTAGCAAACTTTGCGCTTGCTGTCTCATTCACAAAGTTCATATAATGCTCCATCCTATCAACAAACACATTCAAACTAATAACTGAAAAATCAGCCCATTGGTACTTCCCTCCTTACTGTGCCATCTAAAGATGTTTAGAGCTCGAGTCTAAAAATCTCTGATGGACCTCTGAAGTAAGGAGTGTGTTTCCAATTATTAATCTTGTTTTAAGTTTAATTTTGTGTATGTTCTACTCATTAAATACCTGGCTTTTCTAATTACATCTGATTTTCTTTATGATACTGTGAATTATATTTCTAGACCCTAGTTAGTGTCCTTTACTACAAAGTGTCAACAGATAATTGAGCTGGTCCTTATAGAAACAAGACAATACAATGAGAAATGGACTTACGCTGTACAGTAACAAGAGGGACTGAAAAAGAGTCTTCATTTAAGCATTAGGCTCCTCTGAGGCCAGGCCCATCCTGGGGCATTCTTTCCAAGGCTCAAGTTTCAGCAAGAAGTATATATATCAAGCTGGATTACTTGGATATTTGATCACTACCTCTCACCATCGCCGAGGTGAAATCTGATCATTCTGATCTTTCAGCAAGAGTCACATTAAATCAGTTTAGAAAGAATTACCCAACCTTCTTGGACACACACACCCCTCATACACACACAGTAATGATAAATAAAACAAAATGTTACAGCAGCCTATTTAGGATGTCTTGTGATTGTATATGGTGTTTTGTGATTGAGTTTTGTAGTCAATGGGGAAATCATGTTCAGAGGTATGGGGTTGACATATGGCAGGTGATGCTATAACAGCATAAATATGAAATCCAAATTCAAACATGCCCGGTAAGTAAAGGGCAGCTCCTGTTCTCTCTCCTTCTAACTGTTCACCCAAAGCAAACAGCAGGCCAAGATGAAGAGAGGAGTCAGGGTTTGGATGAAGTCCTGGGAAGCTCAGCTGCCCCCTTCTCTCCGGCTAAGGAAAACTTTGTCTAAATTCCAGGAGTCTTGCTCAGCTTTCCAAGTTTCCAGACCCATAATCAGCTTTGAGTGTCAGTGTCCAGACCCATAATGGCCTAATCTGCCCAGTGGCCTGTTGCTATGGTAATCCTGCAAGTGCTTTCATCAGTAAATGAAATAAAAGGCAGCAGGAATCCTGGGGTGCTTAGGCACATAAGAAAGGAGGAAGAATTGCAATTTGAATATCCTAATTGCACTAATTGATACACTTTTGTGATTAAAAGCCCACAAACACAGACCAGGGCAACAGGGGGCTTGGCAGGAATGAGAAAGTAGAAACTGGCTTCTTTCTTTGGAGAAACCTCCACTGGGTAATGTGGAAAGTAAGGAGAGGTGGCAACAAACTGGGTTGAACTCCCTGACTGCCTCTGCCTGCTTTGTTACAGATCCTTAAACACTGCAGACTGTAGTGGCTGCCTGGGGCCTGCTGACAGGGAGGTATCAAGAATGGCTCCCCTGAGCAAAGAGGCTGGTGCTCCCCTGACCTGGTGGCAACAGGGCACAGGCCATGGTGTAGACAGGCAGGCCAACACAGCCTGGAGTCCAGGTTGGGAAAGGTCTACAACCCTCAGTGGCTCTTCTGATCACATCTCTGTAGCTTGGACCTGCCCTGTTTGCCTCCTATCAGTCAATATTTTGGACTCTATAATCAGCTTAGGTGTCTAATGGCTTAGTCATGGCTTAATTGGCCCTCAACACTGGTTGCTATGGTGATGCAGCCAGGAGCTGTGCTCACTGAGTTAAAATAGGATAGAATCGAGGTGGGAGGGGGACAGAAAATGGAGCAGGCCAACACTGAAGATGAAAACACTCTAATTACACTAATTGACAGCCTTTGGTGATTAAAAACCCATAAGCACAGGCCACAGGGCCAGGACACAAGGGCCTGGAGACTCACCTGGGAAGGAAAACATCCAGCACAGAGGGAAAGTTTTCCACAAGCCAGGTTCAGAAAGAAATCCAGAGCGTGAGAGAAGGCGCTGTGCAGCCACTGGAGATCTCCAGCATGGGCTTTAGAAAGACGCAGGTATGTGAGAGGATCCAGGCCCTCATCTGAGGTATCTAGGACTCCTCAGTGTCAGTCATGGTTGTTCCCTGGGACACTGAGGCTCAGAAGTGAAAGGTGTGGAATTTAATCACATGCTGGATAAGTAGCAGAGCCCTGTGGAGTATGAGGTTCCTGATCAGCCAGAATTCTGTGGCCCCATTATGCCTCCAGTTGATACCAGGATGGTCAAGCCCCTCCTTTCACAAAGTCATGAAGTCCAGAGACTGGAAGCAGCCTGCCCAGGGGCACAAAAATCCACATGACAGGAGAACAGGGGTCTCCTTGAGCCTGATGTAGACCTGAACAATGCCACAAAGCCAAGAAGGATGCTGGTAATATGTGTCCTAGTTACCTTTTCTTCCAGTGATAAAACACTAGCCAAAACCAACTTGAGGAGGAAAGGGTTTGTTTGGCTTGCAGAGCAGTCCATTTGATGAGGGAAGTCAAAGCAAGAACCTGGAAGCAGGAACTGAAGCATAGGCCATGGAGGAACTGCTGCTTACTGGCCTACTCCTCTGGCCTGTGCTCAGCCTGGAAAGCACAGGACCATCTGCCCAGGGGTGACACAGCCTGCAATGAACTGGGCACTTTCACATCACTCAACAATCAAGAAAATGTCCACAGCCATGGCATTCCTCAATTGAAGTTCCTGCACGCAGGTGTGTCCAGTTGACAACTGAAGATAATCTAGCACAGTAAGCAAGGGTCACTGGACTTTACAGAGAAGTTGCAGGACTTGAAAGGCAGGATGGGAAGTATTCAGAAGGACTCAGAGTGTTGTGGGGTGGGGCAGGGGGATAATGGCCCTTCACAGCAGAGCAGGCAGGAAACAAAGGAAAAGAGAACTGCCTCCCTACCTGCTCCTGGAAGGACTAGCTCTTTCCTAAGCACTGGCTCAAAAAGATTTTCAGAGAGCTTTCCCCAGGACATCTTGCCTGAGGACATAGGGCAGCAGTATATTAATTTTCAGGGGTCTGACAGCCTCCCAGCAGCACACTGCTGGGCAAAGGAATGTACCAGACTGAGTAGATGACAGCCCCAACACTAGGCTTCTGGCTACTGTTAAAGCTGTGAGGGTGTCCCTGGCCTCATGATAACAGGGCTGGGGCTATGCCTGTCAGGCTGGCAGAGGCAGGAAAAGCACTCTGTGTGCTCAAGCTTCTCAGGAAATCTTTCCCGGGGAGCATGCTCTCACATGGGTGTGGGGGACACACTGCGGCAAAGAACCTCTGCCCTTTCCTGAAGGAA